TTTTTAAATGCTTTAATTTTATAATATATGTATCTAGGAAAATTTATTTACACTGAAAATTTACGCTGAAAATTCTTGGCAATGTGTTTCTTGAAGAGTTTTCTGGCAGATATCATTCTTTAAGTGTGTTATGCAATAAATCGTGTATTTAGTTGTATATATATATATATATATATATATATATACTTATAGGAATTTGGCAAATGAAAATTTTCGGTACATTTTTCTTTTTTTGAAATGATTCCAAAAATGTGAACCAGGAAAAAAAATGAAAGTAGAATGTTTCAGAATATTATTGCTGAAGGCGCGTAGATGTGGTTCTTTTCAGAAAGATAACACTTGCTCTTCATTAGTTCTAATTAACAAATTAAAAAAAAATCCCTTTGCCAAGATTATTTCAAAATGGGCTCAAATCTCAGATAGTGAAGCGGGTCAAGGATTTCTTTCAACCCGAATACACACAAATTTAACTCTTATAATAAAAAAATTAAAAAAAAAATGTGTTTATTAAACAAATTAATTTTTTTTTAATTGTTTGGCCTAAAGTATGGAACAATAATTAAACAAATTAATTAATTATTATATATAAATAATTAATAATATACATTATTATAATTAGAAAAATCATTACTATAATAAATAAATAATTTCAATATAGCAAAAGGAAAGAATTACAATAACTATTATTTTATTTAATTCCAAATTTAGAAAAACAGAATTAAAAGTTGACTTTCAATTGAAAATTTAAAAAAAATTAAAAGAAAAAGATTTTTAATTAAAAAAAATTCCGCAATTAATATATTGGAGAAAAAATAAAAGAAACGACGAGAGAGAGAGAGAGAGAGAGAAAAGTCAGAAAATAAAATGCAAACCTAGGAAATTATGCAGTTTCTACAGCTCTGTTTGACTCATTAAAAATTATATGAGTAATTAAAGGAGACGAATGAAATATGTGACTATCAATTCCAAGGACCAACCTGACGGAAGGCGACAGAAAGTTAAAAAAAAATGTATACAGGAAACGAAAAATAGTTAATAAAAGGCAAAATACATATACATAACAAAAAAGAACCATACGGCGATTTGTTGCGAAAGATAAAGAAAGAAACAAAAAGAAGAGAAAAAAAACATCATGTCAAAAATTCCATACCAACTTTTGCGGTAATGTAAAATTATGCAAAATTATAAGTGGATTATATAACACCATCTTCTTGCAAAGAGAGAAAAGTCAATGATCTCTCAGGAAGTGAGAGATCTCTCTGTATGAACGTACATAACTTTTATACGTTACTCAACACTTACAATTATTACGTATTTCAAAAGAAGAAAAAAATTTTTTTTCCACTTAATTTTTCATTTACTAATTATTTATTAATTTCATAAATCAATTAATCAATTAATTTTGACTAAGAAACAAGTTTCGATAGAAAAGCTCAAACAATAGAAAAGTGTTACTTAAATGTTATTGAAAACAGCAAATTAATTAAATTAAAATAAACATATAATTTTATAAAATAAATTTTTTTTATAAATTTATAATTAATTAATTATAATAATTATTTTTAATAATTTTAAAAAATCAATATAATTATAATATAAAAATTCTAAATTTATTAAAATTTCCATATTTTTTTACGCATATTTTGAAATTCAATAATTTTCGATATTTTGTCGAGTCAAAAACATATTGCCAAAAATTTTATTCAGTTTACATAAATTTATTTTGTTTATTCAAACAAAATCTTTTTTCAATTTTAATAGAATTAATTAAATTTTCTTTTTTTGGAAATTAATAAACAAATTTTTCTTCCTTTTTGTTGAGACTGACTTTTCTTTTTTTCTAATAGGTAAAAATTAATCAGAAATGTATTAATTTCGATTTTCAGTTCGCCTGAAATTTTCAGCTAATTAAGACAAAGTCCAATTACGAATGAAACAAAGGCGCGACTCATCTGGAAGATAATTACTCTTTGCTTACGTGTTTTCCCAACTAAGGTATAAAATGCACACTCAGTTTTCCATATATAAACACACACACGATTGAATATATTATTTTCCTCTATATTTGGTGCGAATTTAACTTTTTTACCGAAAGAAAGCAACATCCAACTATAAAACAGTTTTTCTTTGAATAAAAAACGAAAAAAAAATTATTTTTCAACGTTAATGATTTTTATATTTATTTTTTTATTTATAAAATAAAGAACGAAAATATTTTTTTTACTGTTCCGAATTTGTATTTTCTTAAAAAAAGTTTTTTTTCATTTCCTTATACTTTTCTATTTATTTTATTTTTTTATTATTTCAGTTTTACTTATTATTTCTTTATAATATTAATAATTAAATACATAATAAATAATTAAATTTATATTATTTATCTTTATTATTCATATAAATAATAAATTAATAAGAAATAAGAAATAAAGGAACAACAACAATAAAAATTCAATTACAAAAAAAATAATAAAATAATAAAATACTGCTTCTAACACTCAATAGACCCTGAAAATTCAGGGTGAAAGTAGGGCTTAAATTTCGACTCGGGAAAAGTTAAGAAATACAAAACTTTGACTTTAAAATGAAAAAATTCTTTTTTCATTATATTACGAAAGAAAAAAATTATTAAGCTGATAAATTTCAACATATCCGCAGAAAAGTTGTTTTAGATGTAAAGGATTGCCACTTTAATCGAAGATATTACTAATGTTTCAGACACGTTTCAATAATATCTAATATTGGATCGACGCCAATTTCACCAGAGGAAAAATCAATATTGATTTATTCGATTCTCAAGAGACGTGAGAAAGCATTACACCAGTAAATATCAAACTTTCTATTTAAAAAAAAAAAAAAAAATTAATAAATATTCTTTTCTATCTTTTTTGAATTAAAAAAAAAATACATCTCAAGATTATAAAAATTATATTATAAAACGAAATAAAAAAATATTTTTTCCCTTATTATAATTAATTAGGGAGGCTTTATTTTTTCTCCAATTGTTATTAATTACCCCCCCCCCCCCCCCACCCCATTTAATAATCAAATATTTTTTTCTCCTTTTTTTAATTATTTTAAAATTTTGCTAACAGTTTTTTTTTTACTTTTGGATTTCCAAGAGTAAAAAAAAAACTAGAAGCGAATTTTTTCCACACACGCATAAAAAATTACGACTTTGACATAAAAAAAAATAAAAACAAAGTTTCACACTGAGTGACGAAAAAAAGCAAGAATTACGTGTTTTATCGTTGGCAATTTGTTCACTGTAAAAAATTGTTATTTTGTGCCACGATTTTCGTGAATAAAATACGCAGAAAAAAATTTATTACAAATTGTCAGGAGTGTAAATATAACATTTTTTTTCTCTGCGCATTATAAACTTTTTGACATTTTCTGTAAATAATGTTGAAAAGAAGATTAACTCAATTAATGAATTCTAATTGGATTTTCATGTTGGAATTTGATTTGAAAATTCATTCAAACAGAGCATGGTGAAGTTTTCCCCCTAATCCCTAAAAAGGATACAGTGGTCTGCGCAAATGTTCAAAGTGAAAATTTTGTTAACGAACTTTATCCAAACTGTAGGGGTATAATATTTAATTTATTCGTTAACAATACAAATTTTATTATTTTACTAATTTAGTGTAAACTCTCTCGCTTTTTTTTTAGAGAGAGAATTGTGTGTGTCTCTCTCTTTTTTTTAGAGAGAATTTTGTCTGTAAAAAATATTCTTAACTAGCCAAGATTTTAGTAAAATTTTAACGAAATGAATAAAAATAATTTTAAATTTAATTTAATTTAAATAATTAAAAATAATTTCGAAAAAATTAGTTTCTATCAAATACACAGATTTCAGAAAAATTATAGAGTATAGAAGACAGATAATATTAATTTTTGGGGGGAAAAGTGCAAGAAGTTCATTTTTAGTGAGGGACAGTATATTCAAGCAACAAAAGGTCACAAAAGGGAAGCAAAAGTTCGAAATTCAACTGTGATTAATTTTAGAACCAAAAAAACTGTAATTCCTCCTTTAAAAAAAAGATTTTTTAATTATTTTAATTTTTGATGTTAATTTTCATTCATTTACCACATTTCAGTTATTAACTCACAGAATTATTAAATTAACTATTTTTTACTATTTAATTAATTTTTAAATAATTATTTATAATACTATTTAATTATTTTTTTAATTAACAATTTATTTTATTATTTTTTTAATTAACTATTTAATTATCTAATTAATGTTTTAATTAACTGTTTAGTTTGCTATTTAATTTACAATTTTATTTTGCATTTTACTTACCATTTAATTCAGTAGCTTATAAATTATTCAACATAGTGTTTAATTAATTTTTTAATTTGCTACTATTTAATGAAGAACTTAATTTATTATTGAATTAAATTTTTGATTAACTATTTTACTATTTGGTTAACTATTTAATTTGTTATTTAACTGATTATTTATTTAATAGGTAATTTAATAACTATTTAATTAATATTATTGAATTTACTTTTTAGTTTACTATTTTGTTTACTATTCAGTATACTATTTAGTTTACTATTTAGTTTACTATTTTGTTTACTATTTAGTTTACTATTTTGTTTACTTTTTAGTTTACTATTTTCTTTACTATTCATTTTACTATTTAGTTTACTATTTTGTTAAATATTTAGTTTACTATTTAATTTACTGTTTAAATTACCGTTTAATTGCACATTAAAAAGCAAAAAAATATTAACTTAAAATATAAACCTTAAATTATTAACTTTTTAACTAACGAAGACAAGAGTACAACAAAATTTGTGTACTTTGTCTAAAAATAAAATTGATTTCATTGGATAAAATTTAATAATTCAAATATTAAAATTTCAAAATTTTTCCAACGCATAAGAATAATTGAAAATTAATAATCACTGATGAATTTCTTTTTGGACGACACGATCACACAAAATTAGTGACGATGTAACGCATAAAACACGAATTACGAAATTGGACGACTTACCTGTATTGATCGGTAAATATCCTGAAAACAAGAATTCATCTTTATTCGAAAGAGTTTCATAAAATTTTGCATGCTTTAAAAAAAATTATATTATTCGCGTCTCTCATTTCGTCAAAAAAAAAACGAATCGCTAATTTCTAATTGGTTATGATCTAATAAGCTAAATGTCTATAATCAATCTCTAAATTAGCAACATTATTTAAGCACTGTAGATGTACAAATGTCAAGCGTATTTGGCTTTCTTGTGTATTTCTCCAAAAATCGATTACCAAATTATGTTTATATGGCAGTATGACTAAAAAAATTAATTTTTTATCCCACATGCACAAAAATGGCGCTTTTAGATAGCTGACGACAGGGAGTAAAGTCACTCATTTGTTCGACCATATATATGAAAATGGCGTCCATTTTCTCCCATGTGCAAACATAACCGCTGATCCCATGCGTTATTTTTGCCCAAGGGAGAAAACGGCCGCCATTTTCATATAAGTCGAACAAGTGACTGACTTTTATTCCCTGTCGTCTGCTATCTGAAATCGACACTTTTGTGCATTAGGAATAAAAAATATCGCAATGACAAAATTAATTTTGGGTAAATATGTTGTCAAAAACTAAATTAATTTTGGGTAAATATGTTGGAAAAACTAAATTAATTTTAGGTAAACATGTTTGCAAAAACTAAATTAATTTTAGGTAAATATGTTGGCAGAAACAAAAATAATTTTGGGTAAATATATTGTCAAAAAAAGTTAGGCCAAAAAAATTTTATAAATCAGTAAATTAAAATTCCCCAATTTTCCATTATTTTGACTTTTTAATTTATTAATTTAATCAATAAATTAATAATAAAAATTAAGAAAAATTAAAAAATTATTCATTAAGAATAATTTCCATATTTAGTTTTATCAATCAACTGAAGATTGCTTACTAAATTTTTTTCAAATAATAAAAAATTGGGCCAAATTTTTGTTTCAAAGTCATATTTTTAATAACTTGGGGAATTGGGAGAAGCACTTTAATTGAAATTTCAATTAAGACACATGCAGTTCGTACAAACTAATTTCATTCACGTGTTTAATATTTACTTTTTTCTCCCTTGCCACAAATGAGAATGGAATTTTTTTGTTTTTTGAAAAATTCAATATTTAAGGGGTTTTAATAATAAAAATTGAAAATTTTAGCATGTGAGAAATTTTATTAACATAAAAATAATATATTTTTTATAAAAACTCTCATGAGCAGGATTGCATTCATAAATACTACTTTTTTTTATCTGAATTTTTCTAAGAAAAAATTATTTACAATTAATATTAATTTTTCCATTAAAAATTATTGTATATAGCAAAAAAGCAGCTTTTCTATTATTTTGATACTAAAAAAAATATTATTATTATGACTACTAAAAAATTGATTATAAAAATATTACCTATTTATTTATTAAAAAATAATATAAATTATGAATATTTTCTTGTGTACCAAAAAATATAAATTATTATAAGTATTTTTGCATCAAAAATAGAAATTACAAATACTTTTTTTAATTGAAGAATATTAAAATTTATAAACATTTTGTTTGAAAAATATAGGTAGTAAATTATTTTTGAATAAAAATTAATTTACAAATTATTAAATATTAATTTAGTATTAAAAAACAATTGTAAAATATTTTTGTATAAAAATTAATTTACAAATTATTGAATATTAATTTAGTTTTAAAAAATAATTGTAAAATATTTTTGTATAATAAATATTTTTTCTAAAATATTAATTTAATATTAAAAAATAATTGTAAAATATTTTCGAATCAAAAAATAATTTACAAATTACAAAAATATTTTTTATTATAAAAACAACAATCCATTCAGATTAAAATATTATTTTCTATATAGGAAAAAAGTGCAAAAATGGTGCAAAGGGTCAACTATAATTTTCTTTTTGCATAGATGCATCTGAGTCAGTGATGGATTGGTTTATATCGTTTTGTGTTAAATATAAGCGAATGTAAAAGGTAATATAAAAAATTAATGTGTCATAATTATACAATATCTGTGGATAGTGCCAGCAGGCAAAAGTGCAATCAAAGAGCTCCCGTTTAATATATGAAAAAAAAATAATTTTATTCTATTCTATATTCTACAGGAACATTGTAAATTATTTTTGGAGCCTATGTGTATAAAAAAAAATGAAAAAACGCAAATTTTCATTTTTTATGATAATGTCTATAAAGTTCCCGAGCACAAATTTGGGAAAAAGAATTTGAAAAAAAGTTTGACAAAAATGATAAATAGATAAACAGTCGGTAATTAAAAAAAATAAATAAATAAAAAAAGAAAAAAAGGATTAAAATTAAAAAGCAATGAAGAAATTGAAAAGTTTTTCACATATGTTATCAATTTTTAAAAAAATTCTTTGAACACATTTGCATTAAAACAAACGTTTGAAAAAAATGCCTTCATAAAAAATTGAAATTAAATTATTTAACTGTAATATTGAAATAATAATTTAAAATTTGACAAACTAATTAAAAAAAAATTCTTTACCACACGAAATTCCTTGTTGCTGTTTATTCTTTCTTCTCACAAAGAGCAAAAAAATTTGTTGTTAACAAGGTTTAATTTTCCAAAAAAGGAATGTTTCGTGAACGTGAGAAGATAAGAAATAAAAAAAAACCCAAACTTGGCACGAGAGAACTTTGTAGGCGGATGTTTTATACACAAAAGAACTTCATGCATATGTATATAAAAAAACAAAAAAAAAGAACTCTTGTTAATAAGACAATTGTAATAAATCTCAATGAAAAAAAAAGATGAATTATTTTTTTCATTCTAAAAGGCGGGTATTTTTTGTTAATTAAAACATAAAAATTTTCTGATGTTTTGTGAGTATTATTTTTTTGCGAAACTAGTAGTAGTAGTAGTAATAGTAGTAGTAGCTATTATGAGAACTAAGATATATAATAGGATCGAGTACATACGCTCGCTCGACAGGCGGCTCTGTCTCTTTGAACCTGCAACCGAAGGACAATAAACGTAATATAATGACACCCCGCATCCACTATATACGAGTTTAATGAAAGAAAATCTACTAAATGGATCTTTAAAGTCAGTGGGAATATATCACACTTTCTTTTCTCATTACAAAGATAAAGTGTAATACAAATAAAAAAAAAGAATGAGAAAAACATAAAGAGAAAGAAGCGCACAAACTTTCTCAATTATCAGAACAACAATTGCTATCGTTTAACGGTAATTGTTGTTTTTCACTTCATTGTTAAAATACGAAACAAAATTGAAATAACAGACATACTTCTCGACAAATATAATTAGACAAATTATAAAAAAATAATTACTAAAAAAAATTCAAAATCTAAATTTGCAATGATTTTTTAATTATAAAATTTTTACTTCAAAAAAATAAGTTTATATTTCTATTCATTAATATTTATATTATTTATTTACTGTACACTAGAAAAAATTAGTTTGATTCAAATAAACGATTACATATCAATTATCAAATAAATATTTATTTGTATCAAATAATTTTTCAATGGTGTTTGCCTCGAATACTGAAATTATTGAGTCAAATAAAAGTTATTTGATACAAATAATTATTTTTTTATAATAGACAAATAATCGGTTATTTGAATCAAATAAATACTTTTTTTTGGTGCAAATAAACAAAATACTACAAATAAATAAATATTAAAAAAAATAAAAATGTTCCTAAAGTTTTGAACGATTAAATAAGTAAGGATATTTTCTTTTTAATTTTTATTTTTTTGACAAAAGAAAGTTGTTTTCCGTATTAAAAAATTAATTTTCAAAAGAAATAAATTTTTGCCGGAGATAGTGTACATTTAAATAAATAAATATTTATAAAAATCAAAAAGAAAAAAAATTAATCAAAAAATTGTTATTCAAAATGTGAAAAATAAAAATGATATAAATACTCAATTTATCGAAATTACTAAATTTTTTTCTACACTCGTCGATTCCCACACGACTTTACAGTCCAAAAATTAAATATGAAGTTTGCGAAAAATATTAAAAATTGTGAAAAAAAATTCTAAACTATTAATAAAATTAAATAAACACACCATAATAATTAAGAATGCCAATCACGAAAATATTTGTTAAAATTAATAATTATATACAATATATAAGGTTTCATTATTATATTCCTAAGAAAAAAGAAATTGAACTATTTTTTATACTGTTGTCATTATTTCCATTGTTTAAAAAAATAATATTAGGGATATAAAAAAAAATTCTGCAATTAATTAAATATTATAGACAAAATACTATGTGGATAAAAATCACAGGGGGAGACATTTAAAATATATAAATAACATATTATAGTTAATAACACACTGAATATTAAAAACAAGAAGATATTATTACTTTTTTTGTAAATGCACTTTGGGATTTTGTATATTTATCAATATAACAATCAAAAATTTCAAAATTCATAAATGTGCAACAAAGGGAAAGGAATAAAATTTTTTTTGATATATAAAACATCTAGATATATATAAAATTCACCTGCGGCAGATGTTTCTAACGAATATGAAAATTTAATGTCATTTTTTAATTCGAACTGAAAAAATATATTCGGGTAAAAAATTTATAAAAAAACAAATAAATTTTTTTGATAAAACTATCAATTTATTATAAAAATATTATTGATTTTAGGAGAAAATATTGACGATTAATTTAAAATTTGCATTTAATAAAAATTATATTTTAATAGAAGTTTGGTATTCAGAAAGAATAGTTATCAGTAAAAGTACTATTTAGTAACAATAATAATTAGTATAAATACTATTAAATAAAAATCCCATTTTGTAATAATACTAATTAGTAAAATTACTATTAAGTAAAAATCCCATTTATTAATAATACTAATTAGTAAAAATACTGTTAAGTAAAAATCCTATTTAGTAAAAATACTAAATAAGTAATAATCCCATTTAGTAATAATACTAATTAGTAAAAATCCTATTTAGTAAAAATACTTTTAAGTAATTAATATAATTACCGTTTTTTATGAAAATGCACTAAAAATATCTTTCCTACAAAAATACAATTTTTAATAAAAATACCATTTTTAATAAAAATGTCTATCAAATAAAAATTCGTCCGATATAATAGGATTCCTCCGATTTCACATAATAAAAATAGTCTATATATATATATATATATATATATATATATATATATATATATATATATATATATATCAATTTGATAAAAATACTACTATTCAAAAAAAAAGAAGGAAAAAAATAATAAAAAATGCATTACTTTGATAAGAATATATAAATAAACATTCCCGAGATTTTTCTGTCAATTTAATTAATTTAATTATATATACAAGTTACTAATGAATTAAAGCAAAAAAAAAAGAAAAAAAAAATGATTAAAAACAGCCTTGAATTTCCCGCACGCACTCCCAAAGCTCTCAATATCCTGTATAATGATTTGTAAAGCGAGATTTAAGTAGTAAAGACCTGAATGGTCAGCCCTAACGCATTCATATTGCCTGCAATATTGAATTGGGATACAAGGCCGAGACTCAGATTCACTGCGTGATGCACGTCAATCATATATAGTAATGACGTCACGCACCTGTCGGAGCTAAAACATTTTTGTATAACTATACGTGACGCTCCACGAGAAAAGGGACCTTATGACAAGAGTAAATAAGGTCCCTTTTTTCGTGGAGCGTTACATATATTGTTTTAGGGTCCAAATAAGTGAAACCGGCCACTTGAAAAATTTTTATCTCCAATTTTCAAGTTATCTATGATTTTTAGTAGATATATGAGTACACTTTTTCCCCCTAAAATATTTTTCAAAAAAAAATTTTATTTTTGATGTAATTAGGTATTGAAGTTTTAGGTCATTTTATTTTCATTTTATTATTACTTTGAAACAAATAAAGATAATTAAGTAATTTTTTTTTAAATTAAAGCTTAAAGTCTATACTTTAAAGATGAAATAAAGCGATTGCTAAAAAATGAAAATTTATAATTGTTATTAACAATTCTTTTAAACAATTGCAAATTGAAGAATGTTCTCAATGTTTTTGAAAGATTAAATTACGATATATTGATGCGCAAAACTATAAGGATTCATTTAAAAAAAAGAAAAATGAGTAACTTCCAATATTATAGAAATTATGTAAATTTTGCTGACAAAATGCAAGCAAAAATTGACTCAAGTTCCTGGAAAAAGATAAAATTGCAAACGAATAAATAAGATCTTCTTTTGTTTTGTTAGAAACTTCACGCTTTCAAGCGGATTTTTAAGATTAAAAATCGATTTTGGCCTGCATTTTGGCAGAAAAATCTACACAATTTCTATAATATTGGAGGTTACTCATTTTTCTTTTTTTTAAATGAATCCTTATAGTTTTGCGCATCAATATATCGTAATTTAATCTTTCAAAAACATTGAGAACATTCTTCAATTTGCAATTGTTTAAAAGAATTGTTAATAACAATTATAAATTTTCATTTTTTAGCAATCGCTTTATTTCATCTTTAAAGTGTATAGACTTTAAGCTTTAATTTAAAAAAAAAATTACTTAATTATCTTTATTTGTTTCAAAGTAATAATAAAATGAAAATAAAATGACCTAAAACTTCAATACCTGATTACTTCAAAAATAAAATTTTTTTTTGAAAAATATTTTAGGGGGAAAAAGTGTACTCATATATCTACTAAAAATCATAGATAACTTGAAAATTGGAGATAAAAATTTTTCAAGTGGCCGGTTTCACTTATTTTGACCCTTTAGCCATTTGTTACATTTTAAGGAGATTCTCAAAAAAAAAAATTTTACGCACTTTAGTATTTTTTTCTTTTCAAATTTGGTTAGAGAGAAAATTGATTCAATTTCAATTCGACTCAATTCAATTTAATTAAACGAAATTTATTCTTCCAATTAAAAATTAAAATTTATTGTTAATTTTCTTTAATTAATTGTTTATTTATATTACTATTAATTTGGCTAATAACTAAAAGTAAAATAATTTCTTTATAAAAAAACAGCTTTGTGGAAATTTTTTTTTTTTATTTACTTAACAAGAATTATGATTCCACACGGTTCAAGAAAACTGTTGATAAAATATTTTTAATATTAATAACAATTTTTAAATATTCATTAACTAGAAATTCGACAATAAGAAAACAAATTTAAAAATTAATACTAACAAATGTTTAGTCAGTAACAACAATAATGAAAAATTAATAATTAATATTAATAAATAATATTTGCTTTTTGTTAAAACCGTTTTTCATTTGTTTTTATTTATTACAAAATAATTAACAAATAATAATTAGTAATAACAAAAATAATAAAGTAATAAAGTAATAATTAATAAATTTTTTTTAACTTGAATTAATATTAACGTAAAAAAAGAAACATATATTACTTCATAATTTTCTATATCTTTTTATTTAGTTTATTTCAGTGTATTATTTATTTAAAATCTAAATTTTTTATTAATTTCTTTATTATTTGTTTATTATTATTAAATATCAATATCGTTAGTGAATATTTAATAAAAAATTCTTAACAATAAAAAAAATTTTCTCAAACCTCTTCTTGAACCGTAAAAAAAACAATTGTGAAATAATAAAAAAAGATTTTCACTAAAATAATTTTTATAAAAATCATTTACTCTAATATTCTTGAACGAAACCAAAAATTGAAAATTTTAAGTAAAAATTACTTTTACAAATTATTTTTAAGTATTATTTTCAAAAATCAATTTTACCAACAATAGGAGTCTTTTTATAGAAATAATTTTCGCATTTATCAACAAAATACAACACTCACAAAGCAAAGCATCATTTTACCGACACAAACTACTGCTACTGCAACAACAACAAAAATACCGACCCCAGTGTTTATTTCGCATTTCTTTTAATATCAACCAGAGAGAGCCACCGATTAGAGTAAAAGATTTCTGTTTTATCCACAATGATAAAAAGGATTTTTATTGATAACAAATTCCCTATCTTATCAAAAACACTGCTGTGAGACTTTTTCCTTTAAAAATTTAATTTCCATCATTTTTCCCACCAAAATTTTTGATATTAATTAGTAATTAATTATTAATACAGATTATTTTTATAAAAATACAAATTCAGTCTTTTTTCTCACCAAAATTTTCATATTAATTATTAATTTAATTATTTGTTTAAATTATTAATTAATATCAAAAATTTTTGTGAGCAAAAATATCGGAAAAACAAATAAATTAAAAAATTAAATATTTTGATTTTATTTTTTCCTGTTCTTAATTAAATAGCAATTAAATATATTAAATAAAAAAAAAAGATTCAGCATAATAGAACAATACCTAAAAAAAGTGTTTTTTATATTTTTATCAGTGTTTTTAATATTAAAAATAAAATTGAATCAATTTTTCTTTTACACTTGCTGTATGTAAAATAATAAATTCAATATTTACTAAAATTTGAAAAGAAAGAAATTTCTCTTTCTGAAAATGCAGAAGGCAAAATTTGCATATACTAAACTAATCAAGATTAAGAAAAACGAATTCTCAAGTTTATTCAATGTTTAAATTTCCATAACTATATTTTCCTTCTGTTTAACTTGAATTATACAAATTTCCCGCATATTTTATTCTCTAAACAGCAAAATAATAATTACTTGAATATTTTCCATCATTTTAATACTGTTTTATGTGCTCAATAAATATATAGTTAAAGTTTAATATTATTTATAATGAATTATTTTATTTTTTATTTTCAAGTTATTTTTACATTTTCCTAACAATATTATTATTTCTTAATAATTAATAATTATTTATTATTACTCATTAATAAATTAATAATTTTCAATTTATTAATTAACGTTACAATTTTTTCTACATTTCAAATTTTGCCTGAATTCTTTTCTTCGTTTCTAAATAATTTTTTATTTATTAATTTGTTAGCAGTAAATATAAAAAATTACCTATTAATTATTATTTCTTAAGAATTAGTAATTATTTATTATTACTAATTCATAAACTAATATAATTTATTATTTACTCATAAATTATTAATATTGGTTCATAAATTAATAATTATGAGTTATTACTTATCAATAAACCAATAACTATGATGTTAGTTATCAATAAACTAATAATTATTAATTATTACTTATTAATAAACTAATAATTATTAATTATCAATTTTTAATAAACTAATTAAATAATAATAATCCTGTAAAATTGAAAAAAATTCAATTTCATTCATCCTAACAAAAATTTATAACTAAAAATTATGTACTTTGATAAAGAAAAAAAAATGTCGATGAGAGACGATTTCAAGTAAATTTTTGATAAAAACGATTGTAAAGATAGAGAAATGAGTAAAAATTGTAAGAAAAAAAAATTCATAACTCACCTCTCACTGGCAATTGAACTGTTCCGTGACATCGATTTTGGCGACATCTCAAAATCGCTATCACTTCTGTACAGGAAACTTTCTCTCCTTTGTGGCAGATTCTGTAAAACCAGACCTGCACTTGGGGATGCACCTCCACATCCCCCTGCGCCACCGTCCAGCGTTGACGCGCCATTTTCCACATCAAAACTGAAAAAACAAACAAAAAATTTACTATTTTCTTATAAAAAAATTTTACAAACTATTCTAGAATAGTATATTGTGCAACAAGCACAGAACAACAAGTACAGTAATTTGCACAAGTTCGGAAAATCTTCTTTCGTACGTGTTGCACACAGTACTTTGTGCAACACCTGTTTACCGAAAAAAGTCATTTTTATACTTTTCTAATCAATAAATATAGTTTTATGTTGATTATAGTGTATATTATACTGTTTACAGAAAAGTGTGCAGGAAATTACACTTTCCTGCACACTTTTAAATGTGCAGAAATTGACCACTTTGTGCTGCATTTATGTTAAAGAAAAGTAGCTCTTTTCCAGCAGGTGTTGCACAAATTTATTTTTTCGATTTCTAAAATGAGAGTTGAGTATTTTCTTTCTAAAAATTACAAACATAACCTCAAATTTTCTTCTTCTTAGTTCAGCTTTTTTCGGATCATTTATATTTCTTCTGCACTGAAATATAAATTAATTAACAAATTTTAGAAAGTAGTTTTACTTTCGATCGAAAACATTTGAAAAAATTTACAAAACAGGTGATAATTATAAGTGAAATATGTCGAATAAGGTGAAAATTAACAAAAATAGGTGAAATAGGAAATATAGGTGTGGTAAAAAAATCCAATCTCGGAAAATTTTCGCCAGCATTTTCAAAATAGACAAAAATACAGTTTCTTATATAAGATAAACTACTATTAATGCCATAGCCTTGCCATTCAACATTTAATCGTTCGCTGGTATAAAACGTGGGTGGGTACTGCACGCAATCAATTGCTAAATGCATCCAGGAAGAAGAGATCTATAGAAAACTGGAGGACTATATCCCTACTAAGCACAGCTATATATATATGTATATATATGTATATATAAACACGATTCGTTTTCATTAGTTTAAGCAGTAAAATACTATTGCCAATATTGAAGGAATTGCAAAACTTTTCAAATTAATTAAGAAAATAATGATGATGATGATGATGATGATGATGATGATGATGATGATAATGAAAGTAGAAAGAAAATATTTTCTCCGAGATATTAATTTGAGAATAAAAAAAATACGAAGCAAATCTTAGAAAAATATCATTGCACTAAAATTGATGAAATTTTTTACATCTAATTATAAATTCCAATTAATTCGAAAATTACCTATAAATAAATTTCAAGTTACTCGAATTTAAATTAGATGAAAAAAAAATGCAATAAACTTCAATCAATTAAATTTGACACTTTGCTTTATCATTCTTCTTTGTAATTTTATACCTGATTTAATTACTTTTTAATTATTTTCTTTTTTCACTCTATCTCTAAAAATTGAACTTTAGTGCATTTTTTAAATAAAAGACAAATTTCAATCATTTTAATAATTATTAAAAGTTATATTAAAGTCAAGATTAGAGTGAAAAAATTTTTCTACAACTATTTTTAGAAACACGGGACTTCTGTAAAAATAGGTCTAAAAATAAAAACTGCATCACTAGAGTAAAAAAAATTTTTTCTAAAGTATCGAACGTTAAAATGAAGGAAATTTGCTCATGTGTAAATATATTTTTTATCAAAATAAATTATCAACTATCAAAATAAAAAATAATTATCAATTATAAATCTGAAAGAAATAAAACATTCAAAAACGAAATTTCTTAGATAATAAAAATTCTTCAGTAGTTTAAAACACTCACCAAATGTGGTTTCTATAATATCTAATAGTAAAAGTCATATTTTTAAATCACAAAAAAATCGTTTCTCACTTTGACAGCTATTAGCGTTTTATAAGTTAGCTGTAAACGCTTCGTTATTGTTTGTCTTTCAACTAATAAAAACCATCTTTATTATCTTTCTCATGCAATATTTTTTTTAAAAAGAGAAAAAAAAGAAAAACACAATTTTATTTTGTAATCTAAAAAGAATTTTTAGTGTCGAAATTATTTGAGCTCTACAAAAATACTAAAAATCCTATTAATTTTACTATCATTTTACCATTTTACACATTTTTTAATATCAGTTTATTTTTTTCGATAAAAGGTTCATTTTGTCAATCATCAAATTCAAAACTCTACCTTTTCTTAATTTACAAACACACTTTTAATTTATTTATTTGTCTACAGTCATTAGGTGTTAATTATTATCAATTTTCTCTAATAATTATTACCCAATTATTATTGTTTAATTTATCATAACTTCACTTTTAATCTCATTTAATTATTGTTATACATTATCTTTAATCTCCAAGTTCAAGATTATTCTTGTTCTCCACCGAAAAGCACGAATTTCCCTCTTTTATAGAAATAATAAAGAAAAGCACGTCCAGCATAATTTAATTATAAGTTTCTTTTATTAGAAAGTTTTCTGTACCATTAGGACTTTTTTATTCTGTTTTAATATTGATATAATTATTAGAGGTGTGCAAAAAGCTCGAATAGCATGGTCGAGCTCGAGCCAGGCTCGAGTTTTAGTTACTCAAAAATATTTGAGTGCTCGAAAAATTCAAGTGCTCAAAATTATTTTAGGTTTAATACTGCACGTGTCGGATGGAATTTGGTTCAAGTTCGGATTGATTCTACTCAGCTCTGCTAGAAAAACGAAAAGCTTGAAATACTCGATCGAGCTTTTTGCACAACTCTAATAATTATAATAAAATATATATAAATACCTACATATATTTTTTCTTTTTGGTAGAGTTGAGTAAAAAGAACAAAATTGGCCTTTTTACTCCAATCTGATCTAAATAATTTTTAGATAAAAAATCAAAAACTTTTTGTAAAAAATAAAATTAGTCAAAGTTATTTTTCTACTAAAAATTATTTACTACTTACTATTTACTAAAAATTATTCTTGAGGATTTATTTGTTTTAAGTAAAAAATTTGTTTGACTCAAAGAAAATAATTCTTTTCTCTCAAACAAAATTTTTTACTTAAAATAAATAAAATTTGAATTATTTCTCGTATTTAATTAAATTAGTCAAAATTTATTTATTGTTGTTAGTTATTTTTCAACTAAAAATTAATTTTTTTACTATTTCTATACTATTCTATTTTATATACTACTTTATATTCTATACTATTTTTTACTGTATTATATTTAATTTTTAGTACTTTCTAAATCTGAATTAATAGAATTCTACTTACAAATAGTAAAATTTCACTAATTGTTATTAATTTTCATGGACGATTTTTTCCTTTTTTCGATCTCTAAATTTGAATTAGTAAAAAGAGTTTTTAATCATTTAAATTAGAGACTGACTTTTTGCTTTTGAATTAGTAAATTTTACTAGTAAATTAGTACAAATTACTATTTATTAGTAAAATTTACTCATTCAAAATCAAAAAGTCAGTCACTAATTTAAATTTAGAGAGTGATTAGTATACACTATTAGTAAAATATGATAATCGTAATGGTAATCGTAAAATATGACTGATTGTTACTAAAATTTTACTAATTTTTTTAAAATTTCACTAATTGATAAATAATTTATTTTTAATATTTTTTTTGGTTTTTTTTAGTTTTCTTCATGTTAATTCAGTAAATTAATTAGTTAAGCTGTTTTATCGACTATTAATAAAATAGTTCTATTAATTGTTTGTGAAATTCTACTAAAACTTAAATATTGAAATTTTTTAGTATTAAAATTTTACTAAAATTAGTAAAATTTCACTAATTGATAGTAAAATTAATATTAATTCATTTGATCAGCTATTTTTCAACATTTTATTCAGTAATTTTCTACTGATTCAAATTTGGAGAGTAAAAAATGTGTCTGGCAGAAAGAAAATAATTCTTTTTGTTGAAATAAAATTTAAACTTATAATAAATAGAATTTTAATGGAAAAAATAAATAAATTACTAGTTTATAAGACAAATATTTTTTTATGGATGTAAATAAAAAATTTATGGTAGTTCACAATTTAAATTATCAACTTAATTTAAATTAATTTACAATTTTGAATATATTTACTAAAATTTTACTAATTTTTTTAGAATTTCACTAATTGCTAAATAATTTATTTTTAAGGCCAGGTTCCTCCAAAAAACGTGTTTTTTTAAACAAATTTTATTATATTATAAAAAATATTTATCAACCAAAGTTTTTATAGTTTAAGAGGCATGAGAATACTAATTAAAAATTTTTTTTTTTTTTTGCAATGGCGGCTCCAGAATTGGCTGCTGCAGAAAATTATTTTTGTTGGTGGGTTGAGGATATGAGCAAAAGTCAGTAATTATTATAGAGCTGTTATTCGGAAGAAATGTCGAACTTTTTAAATAGATATTCAGGAATTATATGGTAAGAACTCGGTATTTATGTAATAGTTAGACAAAGTTCGGGAATTCTTATGAAATTTAAAGTGTAGTTCTTTCTCCTTGGTTAGACGCTTGTAAATACTATTTTAGAAGAAAAATATAATTTCTACGCCAAAATTTCGATAATATTATAGACTAGTCCTGTATTTTTCAGGAATTTTTTTATGATGGTGATTTTGAAAGTCTTACGAAAACAGTTTCGTAATTAGTTCGGAACGATTCAGATATACTTACATTAAATTCCTAAAAATTTCTGGAGCTTTGCACAAATTCTCAATTTAGGAACAAATTCAGGAATTCTTACAGAATTTATATTTTCCGTGTAGAATTGTTAGTGAAATTCTACACTGTAAATAAAAGGTTTTAAATTAGAGCTTTTTTCGGTATTAAAATAGAACCAAATTGACAATTTAGTACCAAAATTGGTACTGAATTAGTACCTTTCTTTTTACAGTGTACTAAAACTAAATTAATAAATTAGTAAAATATAACTAATTGCTAGCAAAATTAATATTAAATCATCTGATGGGCGATTTTTCATCATTTCAGTAGTAACTTTCTACTAATTCTACTAATAATAAAATATTTGTCTGAGACAAATATTTTTTTATGTATGTAAATATAAAATTTATGGTTATTCAAAATTCAAAATAAATTAAATTACTTTAATTTAA